GGGGAGCATACATACCACAGGACCAAGGGGAGCATACATACCACAGGACCAAGGGGAACATACATATCACAGGACCAAGGGGAGCATACATATCACAGGACCAAAGGGAACATACATATCACAGGACTAAGGGGAACATACATATCACAGGACCAAGGGGAACATACATATCACAGGATCAAGGGGAACATACATATCACAGGACTAAGGGGAACATACATATCACAGGATCAAGGGGAGCATACATATCACAGGACCAAGGGGAGCATACATACCACAGGACCAAGGGAACATACATATCACAGGACTAAGGGGAACATACATATAACAGGATCAAGGGGAGCATACATATCACAGGACCAAGGGGAGCATACATACCACAGGACCAAGGGGAACATACATATCACAAGACTAAGGGGAACATACATATCACAGGATCAAGGGGAGCATACATATCACAGGACCAAGGGGAACATACATATCACAGGACCAAGGGGAGCATACATATCACAGGACCAAGGGGAATACATATCAAAGGACCAAGGGGAACAACATATCAAATTTGAGAAAAAATCATCCAATACATTCTGAGAAATAGCGATAACAAACTAAAATTGTAACAAGATGGCTGCCCATTCATAATTTTGTTTTTAGATCAATCCAAAAATTTGATATGCATAACTAACAAGAGTACCGCGGGGCGGAACAATATATGCCCGGCGAATGCCATATAGTGTTATATACTTTCTTACATTGAAATAAGATCTGCATCATTCTAAGAGTGGTTAGCTGACATGCTATAAAGCTACAATACTCAACTTTCACAACTAAGTTAATGTTTAATTTTTTAACATAAATGTGAAAAGGCATGGGAAAACCTATCTCTGGATTTTCTAGTTTCTATAACATTACACTTGGGAACCCCTCTGTGCTATTTATGTTGTTTATAACTTGTTCCATAATTGCAATTATTGTTGTAAAACAACTTAAGGCATGGCAAGTGATACAGACCCTTCATTATTCAACTTTGATCAATGCAAAATAAATGATGCCAAAGGAAGCTAGATAGCTAACAGTGACTTACAAAATATAGTAAATAGTAACCTCGTTATTGATCCTAAATGTTATAGTCCTTCAAGATGTTTTAAGTTCGATCAAAATACCTCAAGGAATGAATACATTTGAGCACTTTTCTATGAATCTTAGGTTTTCTTTAAATGCATATACATGAAAAAGTTGAAGCTGAACAGTGGAAATTAAAGCCAAATACTCACATTGAAGTCTCAAAAGTTACATTTATGGGACCTTGTCAATATTTTAAGGAATACAGGTAATCAGAGGTTAGTCTCCAACTCAGTAAACACAAGTTGACTTCATGATTAAATCAAATAGATCGGTCGAACAAGGTTACCGTGAGCGGTATATAATACGCCCGTCACACATTGAATGAGCAGTTGTTTGTATGATTGAAATATATGAAGTATTTGTGAGTAATTGATATTAAAAGAGAATCATTCAACATAACTGGTAGATCAATGAGTGCAATACAACATCATGGAACGCATGCATCGCATTAATGAAACCAAGGGTAATAACTCCAGTAATTATGGTCGGATAATGGCGGTTATCAAACTTGTCCGTGGTTTCATGGTAATTAACCTTGTTGTGAAGTTTGAAGTTAATCCGTTAATAATTACTCGAGATATCGAGCGGACACTGTTTCGGCAAGT